ACCTTTCTTCATTTTAAACCATTCAGTGTTTCCATGTTCTGTTCAAACAGTTGCCTCTTGGTCCATGTGCAGATTCCTTATGAGCACAGTTAAGTGTTCTGGAATACTCATAGTTCGCAGCGTTGTCCATAGCTTGTCATGATCCACACAATCAAAAACGTTTGCATAGTCAATAAAGCACAGGTAAACATCTTACTGATATTCTCTGATTTCAGCCAAGATCCATCAGACATCAGCAATGATATCCCTCGTTCCACGGCCTCTTCTGCATCCGGCTTGAACCTCTGGAAGTTCTTTGTCAATGTATGCTGTAGCCATTTCTGTATTACTTTTAGTAAAATTTGCTCGCATGGCATATCAAAGATATTGTCTGATTTCCACATTCTGTTGGGTCACTTCTCTTTGGAATGGGCACAAATATGGATCTCTTCCAATCAGTCAGCCAGATAGTTGTCTTCAAAATTTCTTGGCATAGATGAGTGAGTGCCTCCAGAGTCGCCTCACTTTCTTGAAATATTTCAATTTTTATTACATCAATTCCTGGAGGCTTGTTCTTTGCCAATTCCTTCAGTGCACCTTGGACTTCCTCCTTCAGTATCATTGGCTCTTGATTATATGCTACCTCTTGAAATGGTTGAATATCAACCATTTCCTTTAGGTACAGTGACTCTGTATTCCTTCCATCTTCTTTTAATGCTTTCTGCATCATTCAATAATTTGCCCAGAGAATCCTTCAATAACAAAAGTCAAGGCTTAAATTTTTTCTTCAGTTCCCCCAGCTTGAGAAATGCTGAGCATGTTCTTCCTTTATGGTTTTCTGACTCCAGATCTTTGAACATGTTGTTGTAATATTTGGCTTCATCTTCTCAAGCTGATCTTTGGAATTTTCTGTTCAGCTCTTCTTCTTCTTGTTGTTAAGTGCTATCGAGTCGATTCCAACCCATAGTGACTCTGCACAGGGTTTCCTAGACTGTAAACCTTTACGGAGCAGAAAGCCTCATCTTTCTCCCGCGGAGCAGCTGGTAGTTTCAAACTGCTGACCTTAAGGTTCGCAGACCTATTCGTAACCACTACACTACCAGAGCTCCTTGTTGGACCTCCTCATTTCTTCCATTTGCTTTAGCATCTCTACGCTGGAGAGCAAGTTTTAATGTCTCTTCTTACATCCATTTTGACCTTTTCCTTCTTTCTTTTCTTCATAATGACTTTTTGCTTTCTACCTGTATGATGTTCTTGATGTCATCTTACAACTTTTCTGGTCTTCAGTCTTTAGTGTTAAATGTATCAAGTCTGTTCTTCAGATGATCTCTAAATTCAGGTGGGATAGATTTAAGGTCATATTTTGTCTCTTGTGGACTTGTTTTCATTTTCTTCACCTTCAGTTTGAATTTGCATATGAACAATTGATGGTCTGTTCTACACTCTGCCCCTTGACTGATTATATGGATCTTTTCCATCGTCTCTTTCCACAGATGTAGTTGATTTGATTTCTGTGTATTCCATCTGGCAAGGTCCATGTGTATAGTCATCTCTTATGCTGTCTAAAGAAGGTATTTGAAATGAACAAATCATTGAT